AGAGAGAGAGAGAGAAAGAGAGAGAGAGAGAGAGAGAGAGAGAGAGAGAGAGAGAGAGAGAGAGAGAGAGAGAGAGAGAGAGAGAGAGAGAGAGATGAATGTGCGTGTGTTCTGCCGCAGTATCATCGCTGGCAAGGGTGTTATGGTTTACGAGATGCGCCACGAGCGGGACGGGTACCACAGCAGGGTCTTCGAGTTCGCAAATGGAGTGACACGTCAGTCCATCCGTTTCTACGACGTTGATGTGGACGGCGCACCCGCTATGAAGATGGACGCCGGCTTGGGTTTCTTCGGTGAGCGCCTCGGGCATGTTCTCATCTACGTCAGGAAGGTCGTCGATATGATCCCCAATGAGTGGGGTGGCCATCCCGTTGATGTGCTGGGGGAGATCGTGCTTCTGTATGTCTCCACCCTTGCTGTCGTGTACGCAGACCGCTTAGATGATGTCCCGTTTTGGAGGTGCATTCTGGATCCGCCATTGGTGGGCAGGCCCTATTTGCACGGGGAGGTGAGGTCTTGAGTATCGGCAAGGCGAGAGGAGACAGCCGTCATCTTCGTCGTATGCGCCGTGAGGAGGTCATAGTGTTCATTGGACACGCCATTGTAGAGTCCTTTGGCGACGGCGGTCGGAAGATGACTATGATGATGATGATGATGATGATGATGATGATGATGATGATGATGATGATGATGATGATGGAGTTCGATTTGTATGACAATGAGGACGATGCTGATGACGAAGATGATGATGAAGATGGTGACGATGATGATGATGACGATGATGATGATGATGATGACGATGATGACGATGATGATGACGATGATGACGATTATGATGATGATGATGAATTCAATGACAATGACGTTTAGGATGACGATAATGATGACGATGATGACGATTATGATGATGATGATGAATTCAATGACAATGACGTTTAGGATGACGATGATGATGATGATGATCACGGTGGTGATTATCGTCATATGCAATRTTTGGAAGGGTGAAATGGCGAATGGSCATCCGGACGTCATTCGAACTTTGCTACGGATGTTTTGGTTTCTACCATCGTTGAATTTGTAGTAACTCCATTTTCAAATTGAGTCATCCATTTCGACGCATTTGTTTTCTGATTTTCCATATTCACGTTTTTTTTTTTTTTTAATTCTTGTTCGGGTTTGTGTTTGCACTTCTTTCTTTGCGTCTGTCGCCTCCCTCCCTTTCATCATTTCCATATCCACAGTTATTCGGTTGTTGGGTGTGGTGCACAGTGGATGGAACGGTGCAATTCGGGCGTTGTCAATGGGGATGCGTACTTGATGCACATGCAGTTTCTCCTAACTCAATTGAGCAACCGACATAGGAAGTACGAAAGGAAATCAATGTTTTTGTTGGGTAGGGTTTCATGGACTTGTTGCTCCTTCGTTGGAAAAGACAATCATGGCATGTATGTTGTCTTGTTCTTTTGCTGGGACGTTGTCGACTTACATGTTAGAAAGGTCTGCAGTCGTCGTTAAATTTGTTGGCTGTTATTTAATTGGTCCACTTCACAAATACTCGACACTCGACAGACAAACACCGTCACCGCCCAATCATCGAACAACGAAGAGGAAAGCACTGCATTATGACTTTTTGTTTACAAGGGCGAATTCATTTGTACACAATGCATCGAAACCGCAACGTCGGAACCCGAGTACCCGGTTGGTGTAACTACAAATTCCAGTACGCTAAACCGTACACGTTCCACCAACGGCCGACGACACTGGCACTAAAATTTATCATCCGGTTTATGCCCTGTGTAATGAAAGACGACCACTACCTCCATGGGCATGGCTGAGGAGCCCCGTGGACTGCCACGTGGTGGCGCACGTGCTCCACCAGGCTGGCCCTCACATGAGCCGTGAGTTCCCCCCCGTAAGTGGGGTCGTCCTCCGTAGGCGCCTCGATGTTCAAGTCCGGAAGATGACGGTTGAATCGCCGATGGAATTGGCGCCGTCGACGGTTCCTGTGCTGCTCTTCATCGCCATCACTGTCACTGCTGTCTTCCATCAGCGCGGGGTCGATGTGCACGTTGTGGATGATCATGAGATTGTGGAGAATGCAGATGGCCATGAATTCTTTGCAGACGGTCTTCAGGTTGCAGATGTGTCTTCGAATGAAGTTCCTCCAAACCGCCTTCAGACGRCCGAAAGTCCGTTCAATGCACGACCTCGCTGCACTRTGGSTCAAATCRAACGYCCGATCATGTTCCGTTCGAGCAAACCGACCAAACRGAGTCATGAGCCATGGAAGRARAGGGTACCCTTGATCACCCAGCAAATACCTGCCAACATGTCTGCCGTCGTGCAAGACGACACCTCCCTCAGCCAACACTCCTCTACCCTCCGTAGCATTCACATACAGTGGCGAGATGCACATAGCTCTGGAATCGTGCACAGACCCTGGACAACCGACAAAAACACTGCAAATCCGATACTTGTGGTCGCTAACGACTTGTGCCACAACCGAGAACCCCCCCGTGTGGTGGTAATAGCACTCCGACCGCGCTCCCTTCGGCTTGTCAATATACAAACGCATGCAATCTATGGCGCCCGCACACCCGGGGAACCCCACTTCGCACGTCCTCCAACCGCTGTCCCGTAGGGAACTGTAGCAGATGCCCGTACTCCCGGATGATGGCATCGGCCACTTCCTCGTTGCTGCGCAAACGACTTGCGAGGTCCATCCCCAAGCTGTGGGAGGATTGCCTGTAATAACCGCCAGTAGCCCATCTCATAAGAGCGCATGCGAACTTCTGTCCGGCGGGTAATGGCATTCTGAAGGTCGTGGGTGACCGCTGGATGTGCGGGCTGATGCGAGCAAGAACTTCGAAGAACAGGGGGCGTGGAAGTCTGCAAAACCAAAGGAAGACCTTGTTGTGCTCACCCCCTACTCGCTGGAGATCCTTCCAAAGACCACCGCTACGCTCCAACACCCACATACGACGTCTGTGGTCCAGCGTCCTCCCCATCTCCTCCACCGCCAGTGCACCGAGGGTGAAACCATGCAACAGCCCCCCCGCCAGTAGTGTCACCGCGGCGGAGACATTTTGGTGGACGAAAGGCATCAACGATACCGCCTCCACGACCGCCAATGCTGCCACGTTTCGTCTGCTCACCCACTAGAAGAGGAGGAAAAGCAGCATGCACATTGCATTTTCGCTTTCCTGAACATTCATCCCACGGAGGAAGGGGACAGACAGGACCAGCAGAAGAACTCTGACCCAGGCTGCTTTCGCTCCTGAACCCATGGAGGTGTACCCACTCCCAGAAAACACAACCTCTGTTCCCGGGGGGCTCGACGAGGAAGGGGCCCCGCCATCGCGCCTCCCTCCGGAGCAGAAATTGGTTGCAATAGTAGATAGTCAATCTAAAGGCGAAATACGGCCCCCTTATGGACGATTTCTGGGACAAAACATACCTGGACATGTTTCCGATGTTGGACATGAGTACCTCGCTTTTAAATGTCTTGGAAAATGGTGTGCAGCCTGGAGTCAAATGGACAGATGCGTGGCAATGGATAACCACGATTGTATGTGCAAGCTTCCAGCCCCCACTACCCGGTGCCTGGAAAAGGAAAGTGGCCGCAAAAAGCTGGCCATTATCGGTGGAAACTTTTTGGCACGATTCATGAAGACCCCACCGCCAACTTCTGGCGGTGTTTTGGAAACGGCCTCGCTTGCCGTTTTTGGAAACCGTAGGGGGGCGCCTGCCTGAAAAGGAAAGCACGGACTGCCTGCATGGACCAGCGGACATCGTAGCCTTTCGGGTCGGCCTGTCCGTGTGTGGCGGTGCATGCCGCCCACGGTACCGTGCGACGGATTTCGGATCCTCGGTGCGGCGACCCAGGGAGACCCACGACGGAAGCAGCAACGACAATGATTTTTGGGACGTTCCGTTGGGGGCCACCCGTGGAATTCAAATTCGTCAGCTCCGCGCGGGACAGACACGTCCATGTCCAGGCTTCACGTGGTTTTGTCGTGGGGGAGGCTTTGCGGGAGTTGGTATGCGGCCATCGCTTTTGCCAGAGGTTGTCCACGCGTTGGACGTTGTAGTGAAAGAAGGCTATGGATGCGTCTGGTCGACATTTTTCTGTCCTTCCCTCAGCCTGCACCCCGCCCCCTCATCCCCTCTGTCCCCTCCCTCCACCTCCATCTGTTCGACCTTCTCCTGTCCCTCCCCCAGCCTGCACACCCCCCCCTCACCCCCTCCTATCTGTTCACCATCCTGTTTCCCTCCCAATCGTCCTCCCTTAAGATCCCCCTGGCACTCTGAGACCTGCTGCTTGAGGGTGCCCTCCATTTCCGCTATTCGTACTTCCTTTCCTCCCCTTAGCCTCCCCCGGCTCTCTGACGCCTGCAGCCGTTCCCCTCCCTCACTCCCTCCCATCAGGTTGAGCGTGGTTTTTATTGTGTCAGTTTGCTCCAGCACCTCCTTGTTATCGCCCCCTACCGATGGCGGGGGGGGGGCATCTTCTCCTCTTCCTGGAGGTACCTCTCCGCCGATGGGCCCGGGGTAGCAACAGGGGAACTTTGTTTATCTTTTTCTGGGGGCCCCTGTTCTGATCCYGTTTGCTGCTTTTGAACCCARGTCCCTTTCCCCTTTTTCTTTCCCATGCTCCTCCATTCCGGTTCTTCCTGGATCTGCTTCTGGGGGACCAGTTCCCCTCTTTGCCCTTGCTTGTACATTTTTTCCTCTACCGGGGCCGGGGGAACCCATGCGTCCGGTGGTCGTGTCCCCCAATCTGGTTCCCCGGGTTTCTCCCATATCCACCCCACCGATGAACCCTCCTTCGTCATCTCTTCCACAAACACCCATCCCTCGTGTCTCGGGTCCACAGTGCGCCAGTGGTTCACTTTGAACGGATCTCTCAGCAGCCTCYYAGTTGCTYGYGCCCTTTTCTGYTGTTGCAGCGGRCRGTTGTGTTYAGTGYACAAGTGGCCGTAAGCTCTGCACTTGTGACACGAGGGTCACAACTTATGAGCCGTGTGAATGAGGTACTCCTTTCCCCCCACCCGATAAGGGATCACATCATCCAGGGAGAAAGGTTGGCCCTGGGGGAAATCCAGGGCCAACAACAAGTAGTCGTCCCTTTTCGCCACGTAGGAAGGGAGGGGGTCGATAAAGGCGACAATGTCGTATAGCAGACCGAAGTCGTATACGAAGGCCGCCTGGATTTCAACTSGGATGTGGCGAAATTCCACCCAGTGGAAGTCCTRCAYCAGTTGTGCCCTCCTTTCCTCCRGTCCCGGCTTTCGCTGCGGCGTCCATGGGTGAATCCGGACCTCTGAGCGCTCGCAGCGAAGGCGCTTCCAACCGTSAATCTTTTGCTKGTCTGATTCGTACATGGCGARAACTRTGAACAGGGTGTTTGTGACAGGTTGGATCAGAAACTGATCGCGGGCCAGGTCCGCACTWKCTTYCAGGATTTCRMGCCGGCGGYCAATCCATCTGACCTTGTCATTTACCGTTTTGAAGGCCGCATCGTCATGGAAGACCCAGTTGTTCGCGTGCCTCATGTAGATTTCGTCCCTASTGGCTATCCCATGGTTGGGATACGCCTTCACCATGGTCTGYCTGCCCCCTTGGTTAACCACTCTCRTTTYTGAAGGGAGCAAAAATTTCCCCAGGAAGAAAGCCCGGGCAGGTGGTAGCCCTTCGAGAGAAACCTCGAGCTTCCCCGACCGCGGGCTTCCTTGGCCCCGTTGAATTGTGAGGACCTKGCTTTGATGGGGAGTTTTGAGACKGTCTGCCCACTGGAGTTGTGGCTGGTGGTTACTCRCCTCTCTCATCACSTCGCAGCTCCCGGAGCCTTCRACGGGCGAGTTCCCGGTTCCTTCCCTYACCGCCGGYCCCCGTTGCTCACTCTCCCTCTCCTCTTCTGTCAAACCCCCCATATCCTGACTTT